ACAACCCAAATTCACATCTCAAATAAAAAAAACTATTGGATCAGTAAATTTCATTTAAAAAAATTGATAAGACCTACTCATACAATGATCCCCTTCATTTGGGATAAAAATTTGAGTTGCAAATTTAGGACACATAATATTTCCCATTTCAAAATGTCAACAGATTGGCCATCACATCACTACACAAATCACCACCGCCAAAGTTTAATCCATAACATTCATTTACGCCAGGGCATTTTTTGGGCAATCACTACCTCTAACATATGAATCCCCCAAGAAACCTTTTTTGCTATTTTTTTTCCTCAAGTGAAGCACCAAATGCAAAGAACCACAACATCATTCCTGCAAAGAATCATATCATATGCAACCTCGATAAGGATTTAAAACTGAATGCTGCAATATCTGATAAATGGCCATTACCAAGAAATGGATAAACTAACTCGAAATAAGCAAAAACAACTCAAACTCCGTCGGAAAGCTCATTGTAGCAGGCAGCTAACAAAATATTCAAAATTGAACAGCAGAGGCATCAAAGCCATCAAACGAAAATACACAAATCCAAATATCCTTTCCAACATTTCAACTGAAACCTAAGTCACATAAATAGTATAACAAGTTGCTCAATTAAATCTCTAACTGTAACGGCCTATTCCCCAAACTCTGACAGCACCATCAGTATATCCACTGAACAATGTGCTTCCATCCGCGCTCCAACTCAAGCTGGTGCAGTAAATGAGCTGCAAAATAAGGGTGCATGAAGGTAAGATATATAAATATATACACTTATAACATCTGCTGTCAGATAATTCCTTTATGCTACAGCACTTCAATTATGTATGTGTTGCGAATAAATACAAATGAGCAATTTTATAAAAATCAGCAACTGAAATGATTTCACTTTTGAATAGGAGAAAGTACCGCATTCCCGACTAGTATCTAATACAATGCAAGGCCTTAAAACCCAAAATTCTCAGCTACAAGCTGTAATTACTTCACTTTTAAATGAGAACCAATCAAAAAGATTACAGGTACAGCAAGCATGACCGGCATCCTAAATGCCAACAGTGCCATTTGAGAGTACGAATTGCATCATATATTGTCCAAGTTAAACCATAATGGGCAACAAAATACTGAAAAAGTCAATTAGGATAATGAATTGTATATACCAAGAAAATGGTAATCCAAAAAATTTGCAACCTACTAGCCAACTAGCCAGTATATGATCTCAACCGTAGATGCAGAAAAATATATTAAAGACGTGTATGAAAGTGTGTGGAGCAAAATAGTTATGACGATAAACTGTGAAGCACTGACACGTTATTTGCCCTCACGTATCCGTGTCCGACATGTCCGGTACATTGACGCACACGTACAAGTCCCGGTCACGTGTTGGACACGCAAAAAATAGTGTCTAAATTTTTTTGATAATCGAACACGTTCCGGATACATTTTCTCCAACTTACCAATTTTTGGTTGTTCATAGCAGCTAGGGTCAATTAAGACAAATGGCAAAGATAACAAAGAAGCTAACGAGAAAGACAAAACTCAAGCCATAGAACACCAAAGGTGTCCATCGATCAGTAATCATCTTCGGCAATCGACGGCCATCTTTACAGAGAAGAGAAAGAGAGAGAGAGAGAGAGAGAGATGTTGTGTGAAACCCGGAAAAATTTAAACTTTTTTTTAAAAAGGGCAGAATGGAGTTCGCCGTTGGATTCGTATCACAAAATTCTAGTCGCCCTGTCAAATTTCTTCGAATTCCGAGATAGTCAAATTTTTACACGTCGTTCGAGACAACTTACATTTTAAAGGTCCCCAAAAATGAATTTTTTTTAAAATTAAGTTAAAGTTCCAATAAAATTAATTTGACCTAAATTCGAGATATAACAAATCGTTTCAAGCGAAAAACAGACCCGGAAGTCAGAAATATGCGGTACGATGTGGACCACACATTCGAGACTATAAATATCTACTTAACTTAGACATTTTGGGAAAAATATATCTTGTTCTTGACCCTTGGCCGGCCATAGAGAGGAAACTGAAAAGAGAAAAAAACAAGAACTTCTTCAAGCTTCAATCCAAGATTCTCGGAGTTCCGTCGGTTGAAATTCGTCGAGCNTCGGAGTTCCGTCGGTTGAAATTCGTCGAGCCAAAAATCAAAGTTCATCTCTTCGACGAAGGCTACGTGTACGTACCAAGAAAAATGGATTTCACCGAAGGTCCAAAGAAAAAACTTTGGAGGAATCAAAGGTTCTTGGGTTTGTTTTAGTGTTTTTAGAAGTTCTACCACTTCCTACACGCTATAAGAGGTAGGATTCCCTCCTACCTTAGTTTTATTCTTACCTTAAGTGGGCTTTTAGTGGCTGAAAAAGGGTTTTATGTGAGCTGTCCAAGAGCTGTCCGAATGGACTGTTTTTAGACTATTTTTATGGCTGAAATTGGGTTGTATGTGGACTGTCCAAGGGCTATCCAAATGGACTGTTAAAGGGCTGAATTTTAGACTGTTTTGTAACTGAATTTGGGACTGTTTTATGGCATGTTTAGGGGCTGTTTTGTGGCTGAATTTGGGACTGTTTTATGACATGTTTAGGAGCTATTTTGTGGCTGAATTTGAGACTATTTTATGGCCTATATAGGGGCTGTTTTGTGGCTTATATAAGAGNTTGTGGCTGAATTTGGGACTGTTTTATGACATGTTTAGGAGCTATTTTGTGGCTGAATTTGAGACTATTTTATGGCCTATATAGGGGCTGTTTTGTGGCTTATATAAGAGTCATTATGTGGGCTATTACATGGGCTATTTTGTGTTATATTGCACCTTTGTGATTAAGTGTATTATTGGCATAAAAATTGTGATAACATGCTTGAAATTGGGTTATGAAAATTGTCAATGTATGTACATGCCTATGTTATATTGACATTATGGAGAATAATGAGAATTATATACTTATGAGATAATTTTGTCATGAATATATAAAATGTATTGATATTGTTCATGTCTTTCATAGCAATATTGAATATGTTAAAATTGTGAAATAGGACATCATATTACATATGCACAATAACATCGCATCATGTGGGTGTGTGCATGGTTGTCGTCAACACCACACTTGGTGGATGACGAATGGACTCCATTAAACTTGGTTGAAAACTTGGCCGAGTCGCACAGGTTTCATGGTGATTAAGGTTGGGGTTAGTAAGGAGGGACTAGAAGATCCCTCGGGTGCAAGGCCTAGTGATTGGAATACGCACTCCCTTGGCTTGGCCCATGAAGTGTGTGAGCGTACGCGGAGCCCTTGGTGGAAGTCCATAAATTCTGAGTAGGTTGGAGACTCTTGGTGCAAGCCCATGAACATCCACCCCATACAAAGACCCTAGGTTGGTAAAAGTCATTTGATGTGCAACATAAATGACGATTCCATACACATTGGCACTTGCATGTGTGAGAAGCTGGGAAGGATCGAGTTGATTTACATGAGTGAGTCTTATCTCATTTCATGGCATGATATGATAAATTCCAACATTTAATGCATATTCTTACTTTGAATGTTGATGTGAATATGAAATGTATGTAAACATTGCATGTGCACTTAGGTGGGGAGTAACCTGTGTAGGAATTACTCTACTGGGCGTGACTCACCCTATACAGGAAAACATTTCAAATTTTGGATACACACCGATGGACGGCCTTCACTTAGATCCTCATGTTTGAAGAAGGCCGGAGTGTGACTTTATTTTGTGTTAATGTAAAACATTAGTGAAAATAATGTATTGGACATGTAATCTTTTATAAATAATTGTAATAGAACTTATATAGACTATTGTTAAACTAACTTTATATGTTTTGATATAAATATGAATAATTGGACCCGGTGTAACCAATATTTACTTATAATTGAACCCGGTGTGATCATTATTGAATATTGGACCTCGAATGGATCTTATTATTATATGATTGCACAGGTTGAGTTTTGGATAAAACTTTCCGTACAAAAGAGACTCTGCCCGAATTTTGTCAAAATTATGATTCCCAGTAAATGGGACACAATGGCGTGATATCGAATTACTCGATATCCACGGGTATTTCGCGGGTTGATGGGTAATCAACGGACCCCCGAATTTTGGGGTGTCACATGTTGCGGATATTTTTACTGAGAAAGAGGTGCGTTGGTGTGTGTTTGAGAGAGTAAGAGGTGGGTGGGGGAACTTACGACAAATCTACTTTTTTTATTTTTTGGGAAAGTGGCAGAAATTTTTTTTTTCCATGTGACATGTCATTATTGGTTTTCTCAGATCTTTGTCTTATCTCCTTATCAACTGAAAAAGATCAAATGTGACCCAAATTAAATGAAAACTTAAATCTTGTACATTCAATTGGATGGGCTAACTTAATAATTGATTTGTTTTATGGGTCTTTGTTTGGTCCAATAAAATTAATGGATGAATTAAAATTATACTACATTTTGGACAGATTAATCCATTAAATTGGGCCAAAAATATGTATAAAAAAGTGTATTTGGTCAAATTTATGAACTACTAATCACATAAAAAATAAATACATATATTTATTCAACATATCTCAAACGTGTCTGTGTCCTACTTTTTGGACACATAACGTATCCACGTGTCAATATCGTCTCGTATCCGTGTCCATGTTTCTTAGACGATAAACAACTCCAACAAAAGCTAAACATATATCTCAAGGTAATATAAAGTATATGTGCTATGTGCACTATCCCTGAAGCAATGTTAAAACAAAATCATTGAGAACTTCTTTCATATGGATATTAAGATATTATAGCAAAGTTTAAGGCAAATCTTAGTATCAATATTCACCACATATATGTACTGTTGTTGCAAAACAATGTTCAAACCAAACCTAGTATCAGTACAATTATGTATTACGAGTTAGCAATATGAAACTCTACAAACAATGAGAATAAGGTACTAAGTATGGATATCAAGTAAAAATAGCACAAAATTGAATCATATTTAAAGACCTAAAGCTCCATATTAGTGTCAAAAACATCAGAAGACCATAATGCTAGCATACCTTTTGAAAGAAAAATAAAAAGACACATCAACAAAGAAGCTAACACAAAGATGCATGTACATGCTACAACACACAAACAAGAAACAATATTGATCGAAAACCAAATATTAAGATTAACTTTCAAAGCAAAGAATGGTCTATGCAATTCAAATAGTCATTAGTATCTCATTCTAACTGGGTAACTCCATAACACATAAGCAACAACTTCAGAAATGTAAATATTAAGCCGAGCCCCATTATCAATACTTCATCCTATCATACATCCATCAGAACATTCTTAAGCAAATACATTTCTACAAGTACACCCACAACTCCTATACACATCCCTTGAATATAAAAGAATATTCACTTGAAAATGTTCAAACACAATAATGTGACTATGATAATGAAAATCCAATAACAATGAGCACACATACTCGCATACAAATACAAATAGATATACTATACAGAGACTGCATTATAGCCTAAACAAAATTATAGAAACTCTAAGAACCTATATACGAACTACGAGGCACAAACAAGTGAATACATCACCATATACACACAGTTGCATGTATAGTTATAGAAGGGCCAAAAAGGATATGAATGGACCTTAGTTTTGGCAGTATTGTTTTGGCCGGTAGTCGCCTCTGGAGTCATATCACTCTCAGCCTTAAGATCCACCCTCAAATCCACTACCACACTCTTACTCTCCAAATCCCAAATCTTAATACAAGCCTCCGTAGCTGCACAAAGCCAGTACCTATTCGGACTGAAACACAGCGCGTGAATTATAGACCCAGCATCCAATGAGTACAGCTTCTTCCCCTCAGCCAAATCCCAAAGCAATATCACCGAATCTTTTCCCCCACTCGCACACAACGACCCGTCCGGCGACACCGCCACTGTGTTAACGTAGCCGCCATGGCCGGCGAGAGTTGACCGGAGCTTACAGTTGGTCAAGTTCCAGATCTTCACAGTCCGGTCCCACGACGCCGAGACGATGGTCGGAGCTAGCGTATTTGGACTGAACCGAACGCAACTGACCCAATCGGAATGGGCCTCTCCATCCTGAATAGTGTACTTGCACTCTCCGAGCGTGTTCCATAGCTTGATCGAACGGTCACGGGATGCGGAGACGATCTGACGGTTATCAATCGAGAAGGCGACGGAGAGAACGTCCTTGGTGTGGCCCACAAATCGGCGAGCGGTTGTCCCTGCCTGTAGGTCCCACAGACGGAGCTCTCCGTCCCATGAGCCGGAGAGAGCAAACTGGCCGTCCGACGAGAGGACGACGTCCTGTACGAAGTGGGAGTGACCGGTTAAACGTCGTCGTGCGACGCCATAAGTCTTGTCCTCCTTGGTCAAAGCCCAGAGGATAATGGACTTGTCGCGAGAGGAGGTGACTATCATGTCGGAGTTGTCGATGGGGGTGGCGATGGCCGTGACCCAGTCAGTGTGGGCCCTCATTGTGCCCCTTAGAACCAAAGTTTCCGACATTGTTGAGCTTTGGAGTTATGGGTCCGTCTCTGAAAAGAGGGTCGGATTTGGGAGTTGTGGGGGAAGAAGAGGCTGAGAATGAAAACGACGAAGGGAACGTTAGATGAGTGAAGAGGAATATATATATCAGGGGTACTAGGGTTTTGGGTGTTTGGAGGCTTGGGTTGGGGGAGTTAGGGTCATGTTTGGTTAGTCATCTAAAAATAATTTTTGTTTTCAAAATTTTAAAAATACTCAAAATTTATTCGTTTAGTATTTTTTTTTTTTCAAAATTTAAGGAAAAAAATGAGATTTAAGTCAAAAAAATAAAAAATAAGTGTAACTTATTTTCAAAGTTTTCTTTAAAAATTTTGGAATAAGGAGAACAATTTTTGACTTTAATGAGGTTTGCCCTTCGAGTTTCCTTAACAACAAATTTCTTTATTCTTTTTTTTTTCTTCTTCCTCTCTCTCTCCAGATGTCTTCTTCTCCAACATCTCTCTACCTCCCTCTCTGTCTTCTTCTTCAAATCTAAAGACACTGGAGCACCGAAGCACAAATCTCAAATCTGAAAACGCTAAATCTTCAAATATGGGTATATATATATTGTGTGTGTATTGTATATATATTGTGTGTTTTGTGTATATAAATATATATTTTTTTTTTGAAATTTTTGTTTATTAATTTTTTTTTTATAAAATTGTCAATCTAAAAATAATTTTCTTATATTTTTTATTAATGTTTAAATTAATGTTCAAACATATATTTAGACTGTTGAAACAGGTTTTACTATTTTCTGTACTGTAAAATTGTTTTTGAAATCATCTAACCAAACAAATTTTTTATCTCAAAAAATATCAAAACCACTTTTTTAAAACTCTTATCAAAAACTATTTTCGAATATTATTTTTTGAAACGCAAACCAAACAGGATTTTCCAGAATTGGAGCATTTCAATAGGATAAGAAATTTTGGTTGGGCAAATGTATATACGGGTAGATTTGTTTGATGACAAGGATAAGTAGCCTCATGTTTTTTCTTTGTTTTTTTGATCAAAAGTAGCCCCATGTTCGAGCAAGCTTTCTTTCTAATTTCACCGAGCGCTATTGTGAATCTAGCATAAGTAGAAAAAAAAAAAAACAATGCTATTTGGACTTAATTTATTGACATAATTTGTTGACCTAAATTCACTATGACCTTTGAATTAATTGTAGGCTCCATCAAACATTAAAATTTGGTATTAATCCAATGTTTCCAATGAAACAACGTCATTAGGTTAACAAATCTATAGTAGTAGTAACTTTTGATTTAACCAAGTCTATAGTAGTAGTAACTTTTGATTTAATATTTTTCGAAAAAACTTTTGATTTAATAAATCTAAGGTAAAAAATTTTAGTTTCAAAAAGAAAAAATGCACTTAATGACATGCTCGTGTCTTTAAATTGTCTAATTGAACAATCCAAAACTACACTAATATTTTAAGAGATTTTGTTTCTTATTTTAAAGTTACTTTAAAATCCACTTTATCTTTAAAAACACCAACTACCAGCAAACTTTTGTCATAAAATAATAAAAATTTTCTATTTGGAAAGTGATAGAGCTAAATATGTTTCTAGGGTAAAGCACATGCCTAGAGGGAACACAAGAGAAACATGTTGGTTGGATTCGGTGTAGGGAAGCAACAGCAAAACCCAAATCAACTCACGACTCGTTCTCTCATATCCCACCATTTTAACTCAAACCAGTTGTAGATACTTGGGGATGGAGATTCCATATTTCTTGTCACCCAATTTGAAAAGTAGTTGCAGAGCTCCAACGGTAACAAGGGTTTAGTCTTTAAAGGGAAGGAGGCAGTTATGCTCCGGGTAAGTAACACCTCCTAGTTACACTTCGTCCTATCTATAATTTCTTTATTAACTTTATCATCGAAGGGTCAACCACCGAAGCCCTTCCGGTCCTCGACTTCTATGCAGGAACTCCTAGACGAATGCTAGATCATCGCTTCATCTTGTTGCTATTTTTTGGGAACAACAGTTGGCGCCATCTGTGGGAGTCGACTTGATTGTCAATAATAAAATCTAAGTCACATGGCGATTACAAGAGCATCCAAGAATTCTGCAGTCAATCAAATGCAAGAACATTCTAACTCCCACATAGCAGGACGAAGGAACGTGCCCCCACTAGAAAAGGAATTTGCAAAAGTGAAAAGATTGGAGAAAGCTATTGAGGATCTAAAGAAACAAAACCATGAGATCTTTGAGCAATTGGAACAATCTCAAACCAAGAAGTATGTTGTAGATAATTAGGGGGATGACTTGAGTGAGAACAAATTGTCTTGTCCTTAAAATAATGTTCAGTGGGAGCGAAAATTCTGGGAGGTAAACGAAAAGCTAGGAAATGTTGCCCTAGAAGCCATTGAGGCCCTGATTCAACACACTGAGTCACCATTCTCACAAGATATGGCAAATTACCCTATCTTAGAGAGGTTCAAGATGCCAACCATTGAGGCGTTTGATGAAACCAAGGATTCACTCGACCATCTCAGGACTTATAGATTTCTAATGATGCTTCATAATATGCCAGATCAAATTATGTGTTGAGCATTCGCTACTACACTCAAGGGGACAACAGAGACTAGTCCAACAAACTGAAGCTGGGCTCGATTAACACATTTAGAGAGTTAAGCACCTCTTTCATCTAGGCATTTAATCGAAGGCCGGCCTCATGCTTGATGTTTTCCGTTGTAGTATCCTAACCTCTTAACATCTTCCCTCAATGTGTATGTATGATGTGTGTGTGAAAGAGAGTGTCACTCTCCTTTGGAATTATGTCAAAAGAAAGGGCAAGAGAATGGTGGAAAATGAAATTTGCAAGTGAGCAAAAATTCTTCCCAAGCGCAAGAAAACTTTTTCTTGTCGTGTTTTACTTGGAATGAGTATTCCAATGTCTTCTCCTTAGGGAAGGAAAGTTCAAGTGTGTGAAGGTGATTCTGTGAAAAATGCAAAGTGTAAAATCTTTTTGATAGTTGAGTTTTGTGAATTGTGTTTTTTATGGAAATGAAATAAAATAAGTGTTGGCTAATCCAAAGAGGTCATTCCAATGGGAATACCAACTCAACTCGAAACCTTCCTCCAATGGTGCTTATATGAACGATTGATTCATGGAAAGCTAGGGATGAGATGGAGGTGAGGATCCAAGCATAACTAGTGACTAGGCCTACGAGATATCAAAGACTCACAACCTCATCCACTCTCAACCCAGTCAAACCGGACCATTGTATAGCAAGAGGAGGAAAAAAAATGAGTTAAAATGACAAACCCAAGAGGAGGTCTCCCTTGGATTAGCCAACTAAAAATCTAGCTACTCATGACAACAAGAAGGAAATGCGTAATGTAAAGAGACATAATGAAGAAAGGAAACATGGAACTTAACTTAAAGCAAGAAAACTTAAACTAAGAAGAAAAATATGCAATACCCATTTTAAAGCTTGAAAATGAAGAACTTGAAAGCATTAATGGTAGAAACTAGAACATGTAACTAAACTTGCAATATACTTGAAATAAATGAGATTAAAGTGCAAGAGTTAAGGATTACAAGAGATTTAAAGCTCACTACAACTGAAATGGAGAAGAAAATGCAAAAATCTAAGCTTTTCTATCTACTATCATCATCTTCTTTCTTGGACTACTCCTAAGCTTAGGTAGCCACCCCTTCAATGGCTTGTGAATATTGAATATATGGAGTGTGAGAGCTCTGCATTTTCGTCCATGAGGGCCCCCCCAGGGTGTGTGACAAGCCTCCCATCCATAAGAGGCTGAGAAGATGGCTTGGGCAGGCTAGGACAAGCCTAGCCTACAACCCACCATGCCTCCATATTTCTCTCTCCTCCTCTCTTATCCTCCACCTTCCTTTGCTGACTTTGGGTTGTAGGAGGCATGTATATATATGTAAAATATGTCAGGGGGCAAGTGGGAGAATCAATGGTGGGATCCCCAAGCAAGTGGAACATGATTCTGGGCATTCAGCAAAGAGTACCGGTACTGCGAACTCCAATAGCATAAGCGTACCGGTATGTCACTTGCTCCAGACCAATTTTCGTAGAATCGTCATAACTTTTGATCCAACGGTCTGCTGTAGCTGACATTTTGACACAATACAAAAGTCATCCTGATCTACAACTTTAATATTTGCACGTTTTCAAATTCGAAGTGGATCATAGTCAAAAAGGAGGAAAACCGAAATACTGCTACCAAATGGTGCGGATGCTGGTGCCTATGTTCCCAAGCACCGATACCTCCTTGATTTCTTTCACTTTTAAGCCTCTGAATCCTCATGTAATGTGTCCATGTCTTCACCACACATCCATACTCAGTTGCAAGGTTCTAAAATATATGATTTATGTTGTAATTACTTGCAACATCGAAAATTCAACATTATTCATAATTTCAGCTAACTTTAAGTACTTAGATGTAAAGTTGAGTTAAAATGCATGTAATGAGGCCATTAAATATGCAATATTTTGTCCTCATCACACCCCCCAACTTAAGCTTTGCTAGTCCCTAGCAAACAAAATATGAAAATTAAGCAAACAAAGATAAACCTATACTAATTCCGCAATTGTGTTTAGCATATGCAACAAGCCTTTAAATCCCTAAGTGATCCCTAGTAGACGAGTTTTGTCTCGTGAAGGTTTTCAGTGAAGGTACCTATAATCTTCTTTTCTTAGTATCCAATATTTAAAGCATTTTCCCTTATCTTAACTAGCACTGGGATGTCAACAATAACATTGTTCAACACACCTAAACTAATCACACATGAAACACATCATAGCTTTAAATGCTATTTTAGAGTATACACCTACACATTTCCTTTCAAAACTTGTGTGTGTGTGAAATGAATATGTAATTTAAGCATTTACTCAATGGAGTTCACATTCACTTTAGCTATCCAAATTAAGCTTTAATGCAAAACTCACCAAGGGTTTCTCTCAATAATGAATCACACTATGATTATCCTAGCATGCTTTCCATGTGTATATGTGAGATAGAATATTATGCAAAAATCGAAGTATGCTAACATATAATCCAAAAATGAAATACATGCATAACAATGAAACAACCTTGACATAGTCTCATGAAAGGAATGCTAGGGC